GTCAGCAAAATATAACCCTCCCGCCTCTTCCACACTTTCAAAGTGTAGTGATGAGAATCAAGGAATTTATTTTATGTGGCCTTAGAGCAAATTTGGATGCTCAGAATGTAGGAAATGGTATTTCTGGGCTTCACGTTTCAGAACTCCACACACGTGGCCTTCGGCAATTGATATCCCATTCTAGTAATGATAAATTATGGTTAATATTTTTTACTTTCCTTCATTTATTTCAAATACAAATATAGTTAGCATAAATTTTAATTTAAAGCAAATTTGGATGCTCAGAATACAGGAAATGGCATTTCCGGGCTTCAAATTTCAAACTGATTTTTGGGGGGAGTATGCCCCCAGAACCCCCTGGAATTCATGCGTGGTATGGCTATCCCTCACTAATATATTATCTCACAGAAAAGTCTCTTCTCAAACAAGTCAAACAATGCCATTCCCCCGGCGCAAAATAAAATCAGTTAAACGGACGTATATTGCTTGATTTAGCATTAATTTTACTACAACTGGTTAAAAATTAAGAAAAGATTGCTTAAAGAAGCTGCACAGTCCGATCTGCGTATGTACACACAGAAGACCTCTTTTCATTATACAAACAGTTTATTTAGATTTTTATTTCATTTTATGTTCTGCACAGCTTGATTGTTGTGTCTTGATAATTTATTATACTCTGGAATCATGAACGTATAAATAGTTGTCGAATAAAATTCTATATTTTGGATACCGAAATGTAAACAAAGTCTTTGTTTTACCTTTTACATACGGACTGTACCGCATCTTTAAAAATTGCTTAAAAATAGTTCTAAATTCCAATTCCTGTGAATAATGTACAAATTTCGAGGTGGCACAAGTTTAGCACATTCTTCTTGACTGATTACTTCTGAAGTAGGTAGCCAATTGATATTCCAATCATGCAGATTGATCTGCTATGCTCTTTTTTACAGTCAGAATGGTACAGATCGATGTTTTTCATGTCGGTTTCGTGGATGGGCACAGGGGCGTAACAAGCCCCTTTTGATTGGGGGGTGTTTGCTAGAATTGCCCTGCGAAAGCGATGATGCCCTGCAACAAAATTTTTTTTTTGTTAACATTTCTCCTAAAAAAGTTGGCGAGCGGGGACGGGGGGGGGATGTCGACAAAAAATTTTCCGGACATTCAAAAAAGGGCAGAAAAAATATTTCCTGGCAAAAACAAGTTAAGTTAAAGGTTAAAAAATCTTTTCGGACACACACCAGTTCAATTAAAGGTCAAAAAATTTTTTTCGGACAAATTCCTGTTAACACATGCATGAAACCCTTATTTTTTTAACAATATCTTAAATTTAAAATCTTTCATTGCCCGGCCAATCCAGATGATTTTCCATAGGATATTGGGGCTGTGAATGAGTTTTTTTTGAGAAACTATGAAAATCTTCGAGTCTTTTCAATTCTTTTGAATTTCTTAAAATTTCGACTAGAGTTTCAGTAGTTTTTGCCCGACGAGAGTACCGTTTCGGAAGATTGGGGAAGGGGGGGGGGGGGTGAGACACTCCCCAAACCCTCCTGTAGTTATGCCCCTGGATGGGCATGTCACTTATGTCACAAATGCTAGGTTCTGAATCTTCATCACTGGCTGAAGGACAATGGAATACGTCATTGCTGGTCAACTCAATATTATCTTGGCGACTGAAAATAAATGTATGGAACAAATTTTAACGAAGATTATCACCATTTATTACCATAAAATGAAGTAAACAATGTCTGGTAGTACAAGACGTATGTGTTGTAGTAATAATCATCAATGACAACCTGGCAGAAAGGATGATGAAGCATTGAGGTTTTAAAATTCATTCACCTATTGCAAGCACACATTATCTAATTTTGTATTAATACCTTTCTTCCGTGTAGTTTATTCCTCTGCAGTATTGTTTGAAACAGCTCCTGTGGTATTTAACCTCTATTGCAATACAATCACAGTCACAAACGAGCAGCTCATATGGTGTTGCAGGGTGTATCAATAAAATAAAATCTTAACAAATCAGAATCTGTAGAAAAACTCACAGTCTTATACAATTGGAAATTCAAGATAGTTTCTAATTGTATGCACATAGGTTAGACAAAGCGAAATTTCTAAAGGTTTTGTTTTATAGTAGTCCAACACTCTTTTTATATTATGAAAACTGGCAAATGCAAATAACTTCAGACTTAAAAGTTTCCCGCTTAGTGCCAACCATTGTAATCGCTCCTGGCAATGCACCATTTGCATTATAGACTAAATTTTGATCTAGACAAGTCTATACAAAAATTTCATCACAGCTTGAAAGAGCGTTACAAAATTAGTAATATTCCAAAGTTTCGTTGCGAATTGTTGTAAAATGCGGATAATATAGCCTTGCGAATTTGCCGTTTCTCAGTCATTTTGTATTACGCACGGTAAATTGACAAGCCCAATCGGGTGTTGGGGCATCAACTCACGTTTGTAATACAAAATGACTGAAAATTGCAAATTTCGCAAGGCTATATTATCCGAATTTTACAACATTTCGCAGGGAAACTGTGGAATATTACTAATTTTGTGATGCTCTTTCAAGCTGTGCTGAAACTTTTGTCTAGACCCAAAATGCAAATGGTCCATTAATTGCCATCTGGGAAATTCCAATCAAAGAGAGGTGGGCCATGAACTTGTCCATAACAGGAGATGGCTGCAAAAATTAAACCAGTGCCCTTGGGGGTCAAGAAAATATTATAAATCGACAATACAAAATTACACATTAAGTGTATTGATGATAATAAAATTTTACTGACCAGCTGTCTCAATTTCTGCCTGGGAAAATTTGTCACGAGTTCGCTTTCCACCTACAGTGACCCAATTGAGCTGTTTCTGGCAAATGATGCAAGTCAAAGGTAGAACATTTGATCCTTTCTTTTCTGAAGGGGCTAAATCGTTGGTCGACGATCTTAATCTTTTAAATCCATGCACGGTCTTCGTGAGTACTTTCCTTCATAAATTGTTAATAAACAACAATATTTTTCAGCAAATAATTTGAAATAATTTAGAAGATTGTATATGTACAGCCCTAGTATTAAATTTATTAAGTATACTGCCCATTGTACTTTTTGCACGCTTCAACTTCGCTTCAACTTCGTGAAAATACAACTAACCAGCCTGTTCGAATGTCAATTCTAAATATATAGAGTTCGCCAAAGCCACCGTCTTTTCTGGATATTTACACAAAGTACTCCACCGCCTCGTATATTCAATAAAAGTATCATACCTCTTGGCCGTTAGTGTATAAACTGGTTCATTTTCTGGCAAGCTATTGCATAAATGCAAATTACATTGCCTGAACATGTGGGAAAATTGTCGTCGCTGACCAAATTTCTCGCGGCAGCTTTCTTTTTGCCAGCACAAAATTGTGAAAACAACAAAAACACAGATATCGCTACCCTGTTTCTCGTACTGCAGCAGAGGGAAAACAAAAGAAAGCTAGCAGACGTAAATATTAATAAACGTTAATGAAGAATACAACTAGAAAATACATGCATGCAACAACCCCACGCCTTTCTTAAATTAACAGATGAAGTATAAAAACCCCAAATACAGTATTAAGACCATTATAACCAAACATAAATACAGAACTGATGCGCTAGCTTTATAATGAACGATAATATTCACTGCAATTTCATGCATACCAGCTTGCATTAAAGTGAATTATCGAGTGGAACGGCATGGAATTTTACTACTGAAATGTTTACACTTACCCAAACCGGCACAACAACGATTAAATTACCAAAGACATCAACATCAAAACATCAAAACAATAATTATACAAACTTTGTTTCACGGTTGAACAGCCACTAATTCATGAAACTGCAGTCGCTTATCTCCAGTTAAAATCGAGAAAAAACCCATGTTGTACTTTTGTAAACTTTTTAACGAAATTTAAAACAAAAAATTGCTGTAAAACAGCAAAATACGTCCTTTCAAAATGAAAAACAATTACTTCGACAGATTGTGTACTCGCGCATGCGCATAACGTCGAAAACCGTCCATGACATAAACACAATGGAGGACAACTTTGCACTCCGCTATGTTTTCACATACCCGGATATAATTAGCCGTGTGGAATTAGTACCCTCGCACGGCGCTTCGCACCGCCTGCTCGGGGATTACTTGTCGCAATCGTGAAATTAGCAGTCAAGAATTCTTCGCTGAAACATGACCGAAAATGACGTTTCTTGCAAAATGTGTGTTTTCTATGGCAAATACCTCGAGTATGAACTTAATATTGATGAAATATTACTTGAAATTTGCAGTATATGCGTCTGTTGTCCTGGACAAAGTATAAATATTTACTTTTTGAGAGATACTGTGCGCCAACGAGCATCGTCAAATTTCAGTATAATAAAATAAATAAATGGTTTATTCACATATCTTGGCATTAATACAATGAATTATGATATATTTACATAAATTCAATAAATTATCTAAAATATTAAAATCTATATATAATATATAACTAAAATCTATATAATATACAACTAATTAAACTATCACTGAAGTTTATTCCTTAACTCAAAGCACATTGCTGGAATAAAACTATTTTTGTATCTATTGGTACGACACTTTGGCAGGGACAAACAGTCCTTATTACGCAAAGTCTGTCCATGCGCGGCCACCCGTGTTGGTGGCAGAAAGTGGTTCAGTCGGTTGTTGGGTTTAGCAATCTTCTCAAAGGTTTTCGTACACTTCGTGTCTCCTAGTGTCTAAGCGAGGGATTTGGGCTATTTGGAGTGCGTCGATATAATGCAGACCTGGTTATAATACACGCAAGGCACGCTTCTGAACATGTTCAATCTTAGTTAAAAGATAATCGGGGAGGCTCGTATGCCAAACTGTGCATGCGTACTCTAGGACTGAACGTACCAGGGCAAGGAAAACTGGCAGCAGGTCAGCCGATGGAACGCCACTTCTTCGCAATATGCGCAAAATGTACAGGCGCTTAGAAACTTTCTTCACGATAATGTCAACACATTATCATTCCACTTCAGATGGTCGTTAAATGTGACACCAAGTACTTTAAATGATGATACGATACTGAGTGGATTCCCGTTGATATGCAGGGAGACAATGTTTGGACTTTGTCTTAAATAGCTGATCACCATTTCTTTGCATTTCTTAACATTCAAACGCATGTCATTCTGCTCTGCCCATTGTTGTATTTCATCTAGGTCAGATTGTAATGTCGATTGGTCACGTATGGATAGAGATTCAGAAAGACTAAGATCGTCAACATATTTCCAGTGACTAGCACTTGTTTGTGGAGACTTTAGTTCTAGATCGTTAATCATAACAAGAAATAATATCGGTCCCAGCTTAGTTCCTTGTGGGACACCTCCGTGAACACTTCCCCATGCTGACTGAAGTCCACCAATTTTAACTCTAGTTGACGACGATTAGAAAGAAAGTCACAGATCCATGGAATAATGCATATTCTAACGCCAAATAATATGAGTTTTCCAATGAGGATGTTGTGATATGATTTATCCGGTCAAACGCCTTACTGAAGTCTAAAAAGCATACTCTAAGATAGTGCGAGGGGGCGTCAAGGGTACGCAGCCAATTATTTACCATATCATGCAATCAAACAAAAACTTGCAGGTGAACCATTTAGACTGCCAAACTGCTTGGGGTCTATTTTGCTTCTGATATCAACCATCATCCATCTTACGACGAAGTCTTCGAGGATCTTGGATAAGCATGCGGTAAGGGCGATGGAACGCAGTTCGTCCTCACAACATACAGACTGAGTTTTAGGGATAGGAGTTATGCTAGGGTCATTCCAATCAGATGGGACTATGCATGAAGATAAGGACTCATTAAAGATAATGCGCACTGGTTCAGCTAGTTCATATGCAAATTCTTTAATTACGCGGTTGGGAATACCATCCAGGCCATGCGATTTAAAAGTCTTGACTTTGAGGAGTTTATAACAGACCTCAATAGGTGTAATTATTGGAACCGGCTGAGGAGCGGGTAAGTAAGCTGGTAGGGAACCAAGATCGAGGGGTGGAAGATCATCATTGATAGACAGGAAATGGTCGTTTACTACGTTAGCAAGGTTGGTCCCAGAAAGAGCAACGCCGTCCTTGATAATATTAATAGGCGTATAGATGACGCCTTCTTTTTCCCAGACATTTGTTTGACACAGTCCCACCATTTCTTAGGATTAGAAGATTTTACGTGTTGAACCTTATTAACATAATAAGTGTGTTTCCGTGAACGAATCTTTGAATGAATCGAATGTACTTTGTTCCAATAATGACGCCATAACGCTTCATCGCCGCTATGGAAGGCTCTTTGTCTCTTGATAATAAGTTGCTTCAGGATAGGTGACATCCACGGTTTGTCTGTATCGTGGATTTTGATTAATTTGGTCGGAAAGAACTGATCGATAACTGAATGAAGCTCGGTAGTGAAAGACACAGTCAGATTAGTAGCACTGACGGGTTCCCATGTGATGTCTGTGAACCACTCATGACTGACTGCACCACCTACCAAAAGCCTCACATGATGATTGTGTGAAGCGACGCACATAACGTTTTGTCGCGCGCGACCTGACTGGATTATTAGCACAACTGATGTCTGCAGACCGCATGACAGTATTATGGTCAGATCTACCGAGAGGGGCGGAAATAGCCGGGCGCACGGTGCAGATGAGATAAGTTAGTCACAATTAGGTCTAATATATTGTTACCTCTGGTTGGATCTTGAACGACCTGTTTAAGATTATGGTTCGTCAAAATATCAGTGATATATAATACCGGGTGGCCCAAAAAAAAGTACTCCTGTTTGATTCGTAATAACTTCTAAACAAGTAAAGTTTTTAAAGAGAAATAACTTGCATTAAATAGAGGAAGGACTAACTTAGATTTTGATATATTACAGTTGTATTTAACTTAAAAATTCACGGATATATTAATGTTAAAAATGGGGAGCATATTTTGGAATGTGTCTAAAATTAGCGAAAATCGGCATATCAAATATTAACTCCAGCGTTTGTTTGCTTAATGACATATTAGGCTAACTTGTATTTCAGCGAATTATCGTTAAGGTTTGTAAGGGATATGGCGTAGATTTAGACATCTTACATGTAAGTCTTAGCTCATTGTTTCCTGAAATATGAACGTTCGAAATTATGCAAGTATTTAATATTAGGTCTTTGCAAACTTAAATGTACATGAAAGACTGACCATGGAAGGCAGGCGCTTAAATTTTTCGTATTCTTAAATAGCCTAATTTTTTTATGTTTTTAATGGGTTCAAACAGACTGAGTAGATTATTTCTCGGTTAGAGCAGGATGAATATTCTTTATTGAAGGAAATAATATTGCTTTTTGCAAATACTCATCACCGTATCAACGCTACTATTTTGTTACGTTTTGTTCCAAAAATGTTGCATGTCTCTGGGGAGTTGCTTAATTGTTATGTCTTATGGAGTTGTATGGTTTGATTGTGTTTCATATAATTCTCAGTTTACTCCATGAACTTGCCAAGATTAAGAAACGGCAAAAGAGTTTGGGTGTTCTTAACAAGATTTCAGAACGTTGCAGAAGTTAGAAGAGCTTCACAATTCCGTTGTGACAGCATGCCCTACTTCAGAACTACGAACGATCCAATGACGATCCTTCGCGATGCAGTGGTCTCATGAAATAAGGAAACGTATTCGTGCTAGGAACACACGCAAATTTCGGACGAATGAATCTTGCTTGTATTTTGTAGATATAATAATACTTTGTTTCATAATAAACAATTTGTCAAGTGTCATTTATTTACTGGTAATAGTGCATGTTTTCAGGGCAAATCTTGATTAATATTTGATACGCCGATTTTTGCATATTTCAGACACATCCAGAAATATCCTCCCGAATTTAAAGATTAATATCTCCGTGAATTTTTAAGTGAAATACAACTGTAATATATCAAAGTCTAAGTTAGTCCTCCCTCTATTTGATGCAAGTTATTTCTCTTTAAAAGCTATACTTGTTTAGATGTTATTACGAATCAAACAGGAGTACTTTTTTTTGGGCCACCCGGTATATCAGTATGTATATCAGTATGTGAGGTATTTTGCTAAAATTGCTTGTTTTTCACCTTAATTTTCTCATATATACAGGTTGTGCCAATGAAATGTGATTAGGTCAGAAGATGCGCTTTTATTTCTAGTTGTTGTTAATAGAATGTATAATCGCCTAAAAAATGAAGAAAGTTCTGAATTTTGGCAGCTTTCATGTGCAAGTGTGATTTATACGAAAAAGGCGACTCAGAAAATGAGCATCAGAATGAACATTTTGCCCGGTATTTGGCTATAATAGTTTTAAAATATTAGTTTAGGTTTTCAAGTTAAGTATTGGAAAAACATATAAACATAGCAATCAGATTTTTCTATGACCCTTATTTCGAAGCGCAAACTTTGTATTATTTTTAAACACAATTTTCGGCTCGTTCAAAATCCTATAAACACGAATTTTGTCATTTTATAGGTTGTGCCAAGAAATATCGCTGTTTTACATTAAATTTCAAAGCATTTTAAACAGAGTTGCAAAACCTGTTCAAACTTCCTCCGGGTAAAATTTAAAGTTTTCAAACCTTCCTCAAAATAAATTGAATAAATACTAAAATATGGCTTCATCAAATAGCAATATACTAGAATATATAAAGTTAACTGATTGTGAAAGCATGAAGTTTGAAAGAGACGTGTCGTTAAATGCAGTACATGATTCTAATATATAATTTGCCGTAATAGATTTATACTTTGGACAGATTGGACAGTCCTTACCTACTACATCTACATCCTATATGATATATTGAATATAAAAGAACATAAAAAATACAGTCATAGACTCACGAGTCAAGATAATCTTTAACATGTGATGGTTTCTAAATCTGTAATAAAAAGCACAACAGTATAACACACTCTGAGTGCATATCCACACCGGGCGAGCTTGAAAAATATGCCCGGCCACGGTGGGATTCGAACCTACGACCTTTGGAATACTAGCCCAATGCTCTTCCAACTGAGCTACGCGATCAGGACGGTTCGAGTAAGTGATATTTCGGAACAGTATCTAGTTCCTTCAATACCAATGTGTTCTTGTAATATGAATTTTTTTCTGTGCTGGTGTTGTGTACTCAGGTGAATAATATGTTTGTGATGTTACTCTGAGTGCATATCCACACCGGGCGAGCTTGATTTTTCAAGCTCGCCCGGTGTGGATATGCACTCAGAGTAACATCACAAACATATTATTCACCTGAGTACACAACACCAACACAGAAAAAATTCATATTACAAGAACACATTGGTATTGAAGGAAGTAGATACTGTTCCGAAATATCACTTACTCGAACCGTCCTGACCGCGTAGCTCAGTTGGAAGAGCATTGGGCTAGTATTCCAAAGGTCGTAGGTTCGAATCCCACCGTGGCCGGGCATATTTTTCAAGCTCGCCCGGTGTGGATATGCACTCAGAGTAACATCGCAAACATATTATTCACCTGAGTACACAACACCAACACAGAAAAAAATTTAGTATAACACACGTAAAAATTGAGAAAATGGCAACAACTTGTTCCCGGGTGATATTTACAGGCGTGAACAAGGTTGTGCTGCCCACTATAAACAAGTTGTCAATAAAACTTGCAACAACATTGTTGACAACTTGTTCATAATGGGCAGCACAACCTTCCTGTCGAAATCAACTGAAGTTGTTGATTTTATGCCTGTACACATATTATATAGAGGTCAGCAGTAAAACCATGACAACAACATTCCGGAGGTGGTATTTGATGTTTCTGTACTTGTGGTTTTGAAAGGCATTTGAGAGTGTTTAGGTCTTTAGACGTGTGTTCCAATCGCCCATTTTCACAGTCAGCGACGCAGCGAATGCTCTCACTTGTTTTCGAAGCAAAGTGCTAAATTTAAACCATGCAGTATAGTGCCCTGCATGGCGGTTTATAATCAATGGCAATGTTTGGAATGGTTGAAAATCAATGGCAATGGCAATATAATCTCTATAACAGACGCTGCCAATCCTGCCATATACATGCCAAAAGATAAGCCTATTGCGAGCGACATTTGCTCAAACGAGTTTGCGCAAGCGCACTTGCCACTTGGTGTCATTTTACTTGCGTAATCATAGTATATTACTGAACACATTACACATATAGCGATTGTCTCGAAGCGATGTCGACCAGAGAAAGGCTTTTACAAAATTGTACATCCTAAACATGAATAAGAACGCTGTTGAGCTATGTATATTGTACATAATAAAGTCGTTGTTCATATAAAGTATAAATATCCAAGCCTTAATGGTATAATAAAGTAAAATAGTTGAATGCTTCTCGGCGTTTAGAGCAAAGCTAAAGGCCTTTATATTGTAGCAATGCTTGCAAATACTTGCTGCTTTATACAAACTTCAAAGAAAGGATTTCTATACGATTGTTCATGTGAATCATGTCCTTGTTCCTTCTCATTTTTTTCTTCGTACGCTGCATCAACCGGCAGCGAAAACCTGATAAACGCTGAAGTCGAGATCATTGTCTAACCTTCAATCGCAAAGTGACGGGGTCTAAATTGCGTCAAAATGTAAATTTTTCCCACCAAAATGACCGCAAGGGCCCAGGCTTTGTGAATCTGCGTGTACATTTTAACATTACGCATGTCAAAACAGGGTTACGACGCTTTACACGCGGGTCGCAGGCGCATTCACAGTAATTTTTATACTAAACAATGAAATATTACGCAACTTTGACGCAAAAGTGACAGGGCTTTTTTTAACATCCAAAAGAAAGATTTACGACAAGAAATAGCGCTATAACACAAGGAGTCCCAAGCCGAGTGTTTTCATAGCGCGATTGTATTACGCGATGTCAGCGTGACCTGACACCTGATACTTCTGACCTAATGGCATTACATGTTTTGCCATGTATGGTTATCTTACAGTTTGTGGGAATCGACGGTGTAGGTATCATGTATGTAAACAATGATTTCGATTATAGGATCTCGATACATTTTGTTGATCTGTATTAAATATGTATGACAGCTACACACCTCAGTAACCAAGTTGTATTATTTTCGTCAGACTCACATCACACAATTTAAAATTTCTTCCTCAGCTTTATTTATAATTTTTGTGGCAGTTTACAACATTTCATCTTGGCCATATTTATCCCCGAGCCGGCGGCGCGAAGCGCCGTGCGAGGGTACTAATTCCCCCCGGCTATTTACACCCGGGGAAACGAAAGCATTAGGGAAGTCTAAAGTTCATCAATGAGCGCGGGCGTCGGTCACCAACGATGGGTGGTCATCGTCACTGATCTCAAAAATATGGCGGACTATCATGAATAACGGACACTGATTGGTCCAATTTAAAGTTTGCATTATAACGGCTGCATGACTACAGCGAAATAGCAAACATTTCTTGATTTGATGAGTTGATGATTGATAAATTTCTTGCAAATATTCTTCATTTTTGCTCGTATTTCTGCAAGATTTTGTAAATTTCAAGAAAGAAAGGGCGAAAGAATCAGCTAAAAGAAGGGAGCCGACGTTAACGAAGGTAAGTTTGTTTTAAATATTGATTTTATAATGGCTTTAAAACCCGACGGCCTTTGCGTATATGAAACAACTAAACAAGACAGCATATAATTTCAGTGTATCTTTAATATTGATTCCCTTTTTTATTATATTGAATTTTTTAAATAAAAAATAAAGCAAAGTTATTTGCAAGCGAGAATGTGAAATCATTTTATTGCAAACTCAAAGTTTATCGATAAAGCCATTTAATAGTTAAGGGCAGTTTAGTTTTATAAAGAACACTTTAAAACGTTTTGTGAATTGTTTGTGGTTGAATTTTACCTTAAATTGAAGCTTGTATTACGTATAATTACATACGTAACATAAATATGTTGGGAAATTGATAATTTTGTAATTAAAAGTGATATTTTTAGGCGATTTTCATTTGTACGTAAGAATATTCTTAAAAAATTATCGTGTTACCATGACAACTACTTTAGATACTTCATGTTCGGAAAATACAATGGTTTTGTCAGCAAAGCGAGAGTTTCTGCATGCATGTATTTTCTAGTATAACTAGAAAATACATGCATGTAGAAACCCTCGCCTTGCTGGCAAAACCATTGTATTTTCCGAACATGAAGTATCTAAAGTAGTTGTCACGGTAACACGATAATTTTTTAAGAACATTCTTACAAATGAAAATCGCCTAAAAATATCACTTTTGATTACAAAATTATCAATTTCCCAACATATATATGTTAGGTATGTAATTATACGTAATACAAGCTTCAATTTAAGGTAAAATTCAACCACAAACAATTCACGAAACGTTCCAAAGTGTTCTTTATAAAACTAAACTACCTTTAGCTATTATTATGGCTTCATCGATAAACTTTGAGTTTGCAATAAAATGATTTCAAATTCTCGCTTGCAAATAACTTTGCTTATTTTTTATTTAATTAAAAAATTCAATATAATAAAAAAGGGAATCAATATTAAAGATACACTGAAATTATATGCTGTCTTGTTTAGTTGTTTCATATACGCAAAAGCCGTCGGGTTTTAAAGCCATTATAAAATCAATATTTAAAACAAACTTACCTTCGTTAACGTCGGCTCCCTTCTCTTAGCTGATTCTTTTGCCCTTTCTTTCTTGAAATTTACAAAATCTTGCAGAAATACGATGTCGTCATGCAGTCGTTATAATGCAAGCTTTAAATTGGACCAATCAGTGTCCGTTATTCATGACAGTCCGCCATATTTTTGAGATCAGTGAGGATGACCACCCATCGTTGGTGACCGACGCCCGCGCTCATTGATGAACTTTAGACTCCGCTAATGCTTTCGTTTCCCCAGGTGTAAATAGCCGGGGGGAATTAGTACCCTCGCACGGCGCTTCGCGCCGTCGGCTCGGGGATTATTACAACGTTTAGTTGCTACAGCAATGATGGTTCATTTAATTTTAATAGGCCGATGGAAGTAAGATATCAGCTTACCGTAAAGTGGGCAAAAATTTTATATGCGTGAATTTTTCATTATTCATTATTTTGTTCAAAAATTGTATCAGGCGAAATTCTACATAATTATACAAGAGAGCACGCCAGAAATATTTGTGTAAATTTATACCGAACCTTTTAATTACATGTAAATGTTTTCAATTTTCATCGAGCGCCATTTTGAATGTTGAAAGCGGTATATATTATTAGCTTATCGCAGGCGCAATAATTTATGTTCATCTTTGACATTAATTTATGTTACACGATGATACTCCGAAGGGCGACCGAGAAAGATCCGAAATTTAAAATAAGGCGGAGAAATAATAAAAAATAAAGAGGGGAATGAAACGGCCGAACTATTATCCACTGATGCTGGTTGACTGTTGCTAGGAACATTTGATGTTGCTAGGAACAAACCGGAAACAAAATGAGACCTACTATTACGGGAACCACTGAGTATTTTAATATAATATAGAACAACGGTAACTCCGAAAATAATTTTTTTTTATTATTTTCGGATTTACCGTTGTTTTATATTTGACCTACTATAATTTAGTTCAAGCGAGTCACATTAGAATATATTATTAAAATTGGGGACAATGGCGAGAGTTTGTATATCAGATAAACATCGGCTGCTCGTGTTTTAACGTGCTTAAAAGACGACCCATCATATGAGTTAATTGGCGAAGTAACAGTTTTAAAAATAAACATCGTCTAAGCCGAGAAAATCGAAGCTGAAGTTTATGTAAATGAGGACAATTTACAAATCTATTATCCGATCGATTTACATACATTGATTAATAAACATTCATTTCTTTTGAATTTCCTTCATGAGTTATTAATACTGTATTTTGTGGCCAGCATTCGCTTATGTTTTTGTTTCTCTGCTGTCGAAAATTCACTGCTGGCGAGCAACGATGCAAATCAATACAAGTTTTGATATATTTCAGATTCGACAGTTCTTGGTCAACGAGCATGGCCAGATAACGAAATTGGATATACGCATTGTCATTGGCCAATACCCCATCACGTGTTCGGCCGTTTCACTCCCCTCTTTATTTTTTATTATTTCTCCGCCTTATTTTAAGTTTCGGATCTTTCTCGGTCGCCCTTCGGAGTATCATCGTGTAACATAAATTAATGTCAAAGATGAACATAAATTATTGCGCCTGCGATGAGCTAATAATATATACCGCTTTCAACATTCAAAATGGCGCCCGATGAAAATTGAAAACATTTACATGTAATTAAAAGGTTAGTATAAATTTACACAAATATTTCTGGCGTGCTCACTTGAATTATACGAATACAGAGCTCTACAGGGCCTTGCAATACATTAGAGATATTTCTTTTTGTATTTTGTTATAAAGGCAATGAAATCACATGTAATTATGTGCATTTATTAAGAAATAGTTGCAATTTGACATGCAGTATTAAAATCCCAAAATGCGTGTTGGGAACATTTTAATTTATCACAAATAAACAAAGTCAATTAAAACACAAAATCAATTAAAACAAGAGAGGATTTACTCTATCATGTTGTTGAACGTTTTTGGATTTTGTCCTCTTCACACAGTTTTTGCATTGTGGGTAAGTACTTACTTCCTCACCATTTGCATCTGGCAAATACTCGCCACAATGAATGCAAATAGTATTAAATCCACACGAATAGTATAATTTCTCGACATTGTGGCAGGTCCATAAATTTCAATATATGAACAAAAAATGAGAAAAGTCAGTAAAAAAATAGGTGGGATTTGAATATCCGGTAAAATTCTTTTAATTAAAATGTTTTTGGTTAGGTGACGCATCAGACTGTTGAAAACAAAATTTTTAATTTTTAATACGTAAAACAAAGAAGTTACCTTAGCCCTTCCGCATGAAATGTTTTCCTTTATAAATAAAAGTCAGCGGTATCTTTGATGCTGCATGGTGACTTCATGTAAGATTCTGAATGCCTGCGAGGCAGGCGGAATTTTGTGCGATATATGTATTCTTCAAGTGAGTTTGGCGAATTGAGGTACTGAATTGCAGTTTTTGTACAAATTTTCGCTTATATTGTCAATAAATTAAGAGGAGTCCTTCATCTGTGATGACAAAATCTTCAGACAATGCAAAAATTTTGAAATAATGAAAAAAGTGAATGTGAAAATTTCAAGCGGTGCAAAAAATACATGCGGGCGGGTTACGGTAAGCTGATATACCTTACTTCCATCGGCCTTATAACTATTAATTATTCTCTAAAAACATTGGAATTATGTAATCAAATAATCTCTGAATAATATAATAATGTTGAAGGTGAATTTCTTATTGTAACCATGATGAATAGCTCTTAGTAATAGCTTCCTGTTATTTGCGGTGCAATGGCTTAAGGCGCCTCAGATGCATGACACTTATACATTTTAATTTTACAGAATATTTTCAGTTATTGTGTTCTCAGTATTCTCCATAATGTCATGGTCATATGTTATAGGTACTATATCACAATAGTACCACCACAACTTGTCAGCCTCAACTGCCTATTCAACTATGATTTATTTGTTTTACTTTTTCGGTGTTAGCGACTGTTCACCACTAAACCTTCCTCACTGACCTCGCCTATGGTAAACCTTCCTCGCGGGTAATGCCCGCATGCCCGCATGCCCGCAGCTTTTTTGCAACTCTGATTAGTTTTTAAGTCGGTATTAAATTTCTTGACTTTGTAAAAAATAAAGAAGTTTTAGTATTTTTTATTTGAATTTCACATTTTATTCAACCTATCGGACGACATTTTACAAGGAAATTTTTTGTTCTGTTTTGTTTTGCACTGAAAAAATCGATATTAATAGTTTACATTGTAAAATATGTGGCAACATAGAAAATCAAAGTATTACTGCAACATGTTTTGTCAGTGAATCCAATTTTTGTGGTGATTTGTGGGCCGAAACAGCCGCTGCTAAATTGTCTTTCGAAGATTTCGTTCATGTTGTTTATGTTTTTGAAATCAACCAAGTCCGCTAAAAACCCGAGCAGTTTTCGCGCATGCTCAGTCAATTTTCCCACCTCTTCCGGCATTGTCTGTTTATAGCAGCCAATTTGTAAGTGAAAGGTTGCTAGGCGACGAATTCTAAAATATGATTGGCTGTTGCCTTCGTTCCCAGGACTATTTTAAGAAGCCGAGGAAAAATGGCTGCCAAAACAAGATGCAGAATTTGCATATTTGTGTGTAAATTTAAAAGCATATATCTTGTAGTGAATGATCAACTTTGAACACGGGGAATTTTGATGAGATGTCCAATAGGTAGACACGAATATGGAAATATCATGCAAAATATGCCACCTATGAAACAAAATTTTTGTAACGTTTTACCCATCCTGCTGATGGCCTATTTTCATAACACGCCCCATTCGCGTGTCAATTGTCAAAAAAGAACCAATGACGGCAACCCAAATATTAACAAACAAACTCGCATTAAAATGTTGTGGGATTTTCTCTGCTTATTCAGAATAGAAACAATGCGTAAATGGCTGCGTATTAACTCCAAAAAAGCAAGCAACGCAGTCAGAAATTGCCAGTGGCGTAGCTGGCGGTCCTGCTTTAAAAATTTCCCAAAATTTCCTTACTAAAACATGCTTTATTTATCTCGAAGCTTTAAAAATTTATCATTACATATTGTTATTTTGTCTCATTTTCTCGTCTTTTTCGTTATTATTTTTAAAAAAGTTTTCGCATTCTGTTATATATATTTACGCAATTTTACAGCTTGCCGTGTCTGTTACCTAGCAACTGCAGCTCTACATTGATTACACGCGACTCGTATTTCAGTCCTGCCATTTTCAAATGGCAGGACTTGCTAGTATATTTCATAGTAAATTCATACAAGAAATCTTGGTTTCTGATTGGATAATTAGGTCTGCGCATGCTCAAACCGTCTGTTTGAAAATGCGAACTCCTGCTCTCTCGAAATGGCAGGACTTGGTCTTGTATTGTCTTTACTTGCGAGCTTTACGCGTGACTGAACCCACTTTTTACCAATTCCGTCGAGATTACTCAAGTTATGAAGATGGAAATCAACGAGTGTGGAAACCCAATGTGATTTTGATATAATTTCTGTCTTTCGTATCCAATTTCTGGCTTCTGCTAAGATATTTTAGCTCGCGAAATGCATGTGAACAGACTCGACTGATGATTGTGTATTTTTATAATACAATATAATAGGGAATACAATTAAACTTCATTTGTGAAGCCTGTCGTATTGATATAAAGTATATTAAGAAACATAATATTTACTGCCAGTTCATCTGCTTTGTGCATTTGAAACAGCATTTATATGGACTTTAATTTTAAAAATGATAAACTGTATACCAATTTAAATTCACACTGTTATGTAGATATTTGGCCGCATACACTAAACGCTATATTACCATAGGCATAGCGTACTGAACTAGAAGTTACTATCGCAAGGAAATTGCTGCCTTACCCCCAAGGGATCAAAGGCAAGGGAGCATGCGCAATACGCTGAATAAGGGGCTATTTATATCATCCCGCTTTGCCAGGACGAGATATGAGGCGGGATGATTTCAATATATTGAAATAAGCACGATGCATGATTCAGCAATAAAAATCATTTTCTAGAGATGGATTATAGTTAACTGTAAACGAAAGGTTGTTCAGAAAACTATAAAAATATCTTGAACTACATGATCTTCTCTACAGCATTTGAGTTCGGTTTACCAGCTTTTGAACTTTCGTTTAGCCTAGTGACTTATCTCAATACATCAAAATCATCCCACCTTCCATCATGTAAACAGCTCAGAGTATGCCCGTTCGCTGGTTAGGCGCTGGGCATGACCTAACTTGCGAACGGGCATACTCTGGGTACGAGATTGCTAATACGCCTGTTCAGGATGCAGGAAAATACCGAAAAGTGCAATTTGAATATCAAACACCTTGCGCAAAGTCGAATGTCAGCTAAATATTCTAATTCTACTTTCTTGTCATGGGGGGTTTTATATAAATAGCTTCAATGCTTTGTATTGTATGTATAATTATAATACTGTCAGTTGTGAACTAAGCTAGTCATAGCAACAAGTCATGCTATGCAAGTTTTTAATGATTTGCAGGTTTATTAGCATAGCATGACCAGTTGCCATGGCTAGCTTGCCACTGAATACTGTACAATGTCATACACTTTTTTTTTAAATTTTTTTATTACGCCCGTAAAAAATATCAAGTTATTTACATTTATTTTTCTATTGTTTTGGATAGGCTAGGAGCCTTTTAGAAACCTACTAGGCTTTTTAATTAAGACCGCCCCTATAGACTATACTTACATTATTTCATTCTATTTAGTCAGTTCGAATAATATATTAGATTGAACAAAGATAAAAGCGTATATAACAAGTATAAAATAAAACATTAACATGAATATAAACTTAATTATATATATTCGAAGTGGAGGATACAATATATGTATATTTACAGTAAAGAAAGTGATAATATATTTTAAACCATTATACATAAATTGTTGAATATATAATGATTTTTTATTTTAATTTTAAAAGTAAAAAATTGAAAAATTGAAAATATTAAAATAATTATTATTATTATTAATATTATTATTATTATTATTTTTTTTATTATTATTTAAATTTTTAAATTTTACATATCAACAATGATAACTCTTGAATGAATGATTAGAGTATAAGTAGAATAGTCACAGCTATATTCCCCTTAGTCAGCATTTTTTTGCATAGTTCTTACCCCTTGGAATTAGTTTCCAGGGCTTTCGTTAGGGCTGTTGCGCGCGCATGTCAACCGGAAGAAGTTGATTGAAGGGAAGTAATTGTAATTGGTTGAGAAAAACCAATCAAAAAGTATGTATAGATATAAGAGTTGTTATGATTGGTTTGAAAGCTACTAATATAAACGGAATAAAAGAGTTTTGTAAATTGGTTAGTCAGTTCGTTTCTGTTTTTAAACATTGTCGAACGGTTGAGAGGTCCTTACTGAGAGGTGAAGGAAACTATGGCGCACATATTTGAACAATTATATGTGGATGAAATTGATTTTGAAGATATTACATCTGTCAAGTTGGTAGATCTAATTTTTACTGAGTTTGTCCATAGGCAGATATGTGAATTGGAAGAGCTTAGACGGTCTGCGAATGAAGCGGATCCATGGTCAACGAATCATTGTGAAACGATAAACGACGGTGATCTGTGGTTGATGCATACAGATGAAGCAATTTCCATGATTGATTGCGAGGACGTTTGGCATGGAATTATTGAAGCTTGTAAGATTTTAAAGTATCCTGAACCTTCATCGGCACACCGAAGCTATTTGGAGTCTTTGTACGGCGTACCATGGTCTACACTGAAGACATTATATTTTGAATTTGAAAGGACTCATAGTTTTATGTATCTTATGGACTATACCAGTTGCGTTTGTAAATTAAGATATCATTGAACTGTATAATTTATGATTGTCATTAACGATGTTTATAAGCTCAATAAATCCTTTTTGTGTTAATTTTGTTTGTGTGGGGATTAGTAAAAGTCATCAAAATTTATTGTTGCTATAGTAAGCATATATGTGATAAGAGGGAGAAATGTTTCGATTTGGTACGACCTTATAATCAGATGTAAAATATCATTGAACTTTGTAACGACCTTAGTAATAAATTATTTTAAAACTGGTTGCATTGTGATTCGTTTATTCAATTGATATTGTTGCTTGTTGTACTAACACCTAAATAATGGGTACTTTTCACAGCAAGGGGGATAAAATTAAAAGAGACAAAAATCATAATAGACAAAAAATGTTCAGATTTGGTATAAGCTTTGGTCGTAATGATTTAAATTTGGAGGGTCACTTACAGATGGGTTACAATAGTAAAACAATAAAAAACTACGGTCCTCTTGACAAACAATTAGTTTCACAAGAAAATTTATCTTCAACAATGAGAGGAACAGAAGACCGGTTAATTACTCCAGCATCGGAAGCTATTACAACAGAGGATTAATATATTGTTTTTATAAGGAGGCTACAATTAACGATTGTTTCATTGCATAGATAGTATGGCCCAGGAATCAAATGAGGGTGTTGATGAGTACTTAAAAAGTGTTTATTACAATCCAAAACGTCCGGGAAGTTACGGGGGCGCGGAGAATTTATATCGCGATGTGAAAGAGGAGGGAAAGATTAAATTAAGTCGAAAACAAATTTTAGAATGGTTGATGAGTCAAGATGCGTATACTTTACATAAATCAGCTCGCCGAAATTTCAAGAGGAATCGTGTTTTTGTGGGAGGCATAGACGAAGAATGGCAAATGGATTTAGCAGACATGCAGTCTTTGAAACAATACAACGATGGGTATCGATACTTGCTTGTCTGTATAGATGTATTTTCAAAATATGCATGGTTAGTTCCAATCAAGTCAAAAACAGGACCTGCTATAGTCGAAGCGTTTAAAGTCATTTTATCATCTGGTAGGAAGCCTCAAAAGATTATGACGGATCAAGGAACAGAATTTTTTAATAAACCATTTCAAACTCTATTGAACGGTGAAAATATTCAACTTTTCAATACATTCAACGAGACAAAGGCTTCCGTTGTCGAGAGAGTAATTCGTACCTTCAAAGCAAAGATGTGGCGCTATTTTACGGCAAAGAAAACGATGAGATACGTTGACATGTTACCGGACTTAGTTTATTCCTATAATAATAGTCGGCATCGTAGTATAAAGACAAAACCCGCCCTTGTCAATGCAGAAAATGAGGATGATGTATTTCATACATTGTACGGCAGTGTTTTTGATAATCTACAGCCTGTAAAATATAAGTTTAAAATCGGCGACAAGGTTAGAGTAAGTAAAATTAAACGAAAATTTGAAAAGGGTTATTTACCAAACTTTTCAAAAGAAATATTCACTGTAAGTAAAACATTACCTCGAAATCCACCAGTATATAAGCTTAAAGATTATGACGACGAAGAGCTCAAGGGAACATTTTATGATAAAGAACTTCAAAAAGTTATTAAACATGATGACGTATATGAAGTCGAGAAAATTCTTAAAAAACGAGGAAAGGGGCAAAATGTACAGTATTATGTAAAATGGTTAGGTTACCCAAATAAATTTAATTCGTGGATACCTGCATCACAAATGAATGAACTTTAAAAACGATGTGTGTGTGTTGTGTTTTTTTACTTGTAGCATTACAGTCGTAATGAGTGGAACACATTTTTATCTTGCTCTTCCGAGTAATGCTTCCTATTCAACGTTTCCCGATAACACAACAACTAGTTATCGGGTGAAATTGCCACAAACAATTAATTTAAATGGTAGCTGGGAAGTTGGTCTATATACCATAAGCTATCCTCACACATGGTACAATCTTCAAAATAAAGATAGTCACATATATTCCAGTGCAGACGGTTATATTTTTCTAACTTCTATTGTTGATTACGGCTATTATGAAACGATGAACGATCTTGTCAAATCTGTAAATGCAAAATTGAAAAAAGATAACAAGAATGATAATATTAAATTGACGTATAATGCTCGAACTGACAAAGTAACTGTTCATGTGAAGAATGGCCACCAATTAGTTGTAACGGGCCGGTTTGCTATTATTTTGGGGTTTGGGGAGAAAGAAACGAAAATTATTAAAACGACCGTTAGTCCATATGCGTCAGATTTGCATGGCTCTATGACGATATATGTTTATTGTGATATAGCAGAACCCCAGATTGTTGGAGATACGAATGCCAAGCTGATTAGAAGTGTTCCTGTTGAAGGAAAAATGGGTGACGTAGTTACAAAAACGTTTACCAATATACAATACGTACCCGTTCAAACGAAATCTTTTGAGGACATTGAAATCCTTTTAAGAGACGATACAGGTAATCCTGTTCCATTCGAACGCGGCAAGGTCTTGGTGACACTACACTTTAGACAGAAAAGTTCGCCTTACTTTGCATAAAACCATGACTCAAACAAATCGATACGTGCAATATTATTTGGACCAACAACAAGGAAATGGAATGCCTGTCTTCATTGGCCGTTCATGGCAACGCGGACATGGGGCGCAGATAGGATTTGGAATCGGCGGCCTGTTTCGTAGCGTTGCAAGAGCTGTCATGCCCATGGTTAAAAGTGGTGCAAAGACATTAGGAAACATTGCACTAAACACTGGGGCAAATTTTGTCGGAGATGTTCTTTCTGGTAAAAATGTAAAAGAATCTGCAAAAGCTCGAGTGAAAGAAGCAGCGAATACTGTGAGAAGGAAAGCTGCAAATAAGATTCAGTCATTAAGCCAGACAGGAAATGGGAAACGTGTGAAGAGAACATCTAAAAAGAGAAAGGCAACGGCTCCTTCTGCCAGAAGCAAACAAGCCAAGAAACGGAAAACAACTCACGTTAAAGACATATTCGGATAATTATGAATTTCGTACATCCCCGGTCTCAAGAGTGCCTGAAAGATGAACTTAATATATTTGCTATCCCCCAGACACAAGTTAGTCTAGAAAAAGCCCATTGGATAGACCATCAACCTGTGTCCAGCGTATCAGAGGGAGGACCAATCACGTTCATATCTCCAGGTACTGAGGATTATGTCGATTTATCTAAGACGATTCTTGTGGTAAGAGCGAAAGTAACAAAGGCAGATGGTACGAATCTTGATGCAGATGAGAAGGTTGGAGTTGTGAACAATTTCCTGCATAGTATGTTTAAACAAGTCGACGTCTTTCTGAAGGAAAAACAAGTCACGCAGGCCATGGGTACTTACGCTTACCGGTCATATTTGGAGACCCTCCTCAACTATGGTCCGTCAGCGAAGCAATCTCAACTCACCTCAGCATTGTTTTACAAGGATACTGCTGGTAAAATGGATATAGCGGATCCCACTACGGTAGTTGCCAATGCTAACCTTGGTCTTAAGACAAGATATGGATTCAGCAAAACGAGTGGAACTATCGAGATGGCAGGACCTATATTCAGCGACGTGTTTATGTCTGAACGTCTCCTGCTAAGCTTTGTAGATCTGAAAGTTATCCTGAATCGAAGCAGCCACGAATTTTGTTTGATGGCTTCTGAGGACGATGCTGATTATCGAGTAAAGCTGATCGATGCCTATCTCAAAATACGTAAGGTGAAAGTAAATCCAAGCATTTCTATGGCTCATGAAATCGCCTTGAAAAAAGGACCGGCAATTTATCCTATTCGACGAGTGGAGTGCAAGAGTTTCATTATCCCTGCGGGAAATCCTTCCCTTAGAAAAGATAATCTCTTCAATGGACTTGTACCGAAATCATTTGTTTGTGGATTGGTTGAAAGTACAGCTTTTAATGGTGCGTACAAGAAGAATCCGTTCAACTTCAAACATTTTAACATGTCGTATATTGGTACGTCCGTCAATGGAGAGGAAGTACCTTTCAAACCCATGCAGCTTTCCTTTGGTGCAAACCCTAGATATATTGAAGCATACAACACGCTGTTCTCAGGTACGGGAAAAATGTACTACAATACAGGGAACGATCTTACACGTGATGATTTTATTGGAGGAAACACGATTTTCGCGTTTGACCTGACTCCCGACATGTGTGGTTCTTCATCTCATTTTAATGCTGTTCAAAGAGGAAATTTTGCAGTTGACATCAAGTTCTCTGCCGCACCAACAGTTGCTGTTAGTCTTATCTGTTACGGGGAATTTGAAAACCTGATTCAAATCGATTCTGAAAGAAACGTCATTTACGACTACTCTGGTTAGATGAACACTGTTCAGATAACTCGTGCGTTACGACATGATCCTATCACAAGCAAGAAGTTTTGCGGTGTGTTTCCAAGTGATAAATTACCTCAAGCGATTGAGAAATATCCATGTGGTTTTGTCGCAAATACAGACCCAAGCAGCGAGCCTGGCATACACTGGGTGTCGTTTTACTTTCCAACGGAAAAGAAAGGAGAATTTTTTGACAGTTATGGACATCCGCCAGAATTCTACAGGGATTCATTTGGAGATTTTTTAGAGAAATACTCTTATGAATATAATACTCGTAAACTGCAAAGTGCCTGGTCAGATGTATGTGGACAATACTGTATGTTTTATTTAAGTCATAGGGCACGGGGACACAGTATGAATAAGATTGTGCACTTGTTTGATAATAATACTATGTCAAACGATAATAAAGTTTTTACGTTTGTCAACAAACATTTTAATATACTGCCAAACGTTTTAGATAAAAGATATAGTCAGTCAAGTAAAAAGCTTTTAGAAGATTAAATATGTACTTTTGAAATTTTTCAATAAAACTTTTATTTTGTAACGTTCTGTGTATAGTTTAATTCTCTCATGCAATCCCTCCCCCGCAAAAGGACAACAAAGACCTATTGATTGATAAACTATTTATTAATTGCTCATTAAATGTTTACACGGGAAAGATTAATAATTATGCCAACGCGGTTTCTTGCTCAGTTTTGATTTTAATGTTTCTATGTGTTTCTTTGGTGTTGAAAAAAATCTAGAAATACTCGGTTGTTGCGGACTGGTGTCAAGAATCTCTTCTTCTCCAGAGGAACTGTCGACGCGGGCTTGTTTCCATCTTTCATCGTTTCTTACAAGATCTTTAGGCAAATTAATCTTCGCCAAAACACGGAAAAATTGCTTCGAACCAGTAGGATTAAAATTCTTTCTCCACCTCACAGCATCGCTTAGTAGATCTGATATATTTGAATGAGGTATTGTTTTACCATCAAGACTGACTTGTCCAGATTCATCCCAGGAAATAATGTCAGGTCTTGTCTTAAGACGGTTTAAGATGGCCGTGGCTCTTTCGCGCATCGTTTTCGGTATATTATCCACAATCGTAGAGTCAGGTAAGTTTACAATTTCAGTTGGTGCAAGCTTTACGCTTTCGTCTTTTTCATTGTTTTTAATTGCTAACTGAACAGTGGGGATCTGATTATCCTTTTGTTGTCTTAGATTCAGATAACGTTCCAAATTCGCATAGTAAAGCTTCTGTTTTTGTGCATCATCCATATCCGTACGTTCGAGAATATTTGACATTTCTCCATCCGTTTTAATCATGTTTGTTACAATTGGTGAGGTTTCAAGTTTTTGCTTTTGTTCAAATCTGACAAACATGTCTTCAGGTACCAAAATCATTCGTTTAGCGGACCTCATTTTGTCAATAAACTTCCTAATACACTCAGTACTGGTGGTAGTAATGCAGTTAACAGGTTCCCCCCTTTCTGATTCAGGAGACGTTTTTTATTTATGTGCGAAACCTTCTTGTCTGCCAAAGCTCTGAGATGTTTCTTGTACCGTGACAAGCGACGCTTTTGACCAGGCTTTAGTGGTATGGCACCTTTTAACAGGTTAAAACAACATTCACAAATGCTTATGAGAACATTTTCTGGCCCGTGTTCTATAATAACCCTACGAACTTTTGGTTTGCATTTTGCTAGAACTTGTAAGTATGGTAAATTATCCTTCATTCGCTTCGACATGATGATTGCAAATGACGGTCACCCAGGTTGTGCTCCGCTTATGTACGTTTTATGTACACAATCTGTCTTTCATTGGGCAAAATGTTTGTTCTTAGTCTCAGGTTTTCCTCAGTTGTTGGGTGCAGGTCCAAAAGAATATAACCGAAAGGTTTACATGTGGCGTCATTAAATGACTCTAATAAGTAGTTGGCGTTTTTCGGATACATTTGACGTGCTAAGGTTGCAATGCCAAGAGAATCTCTAGGGTTTTTAAATATTATCATGTAGTGCGAGTTTAAGCTTATCGTCCTTGACTGTTTACCAGGTGGAAATAAATTTTGGGTCAAATACATAACAGATATACCACGGTGATGTGAGCCGCGTGTAAACAAATCTGACACTCGCTGATCTTTTGAACACTCTGACATTAAATCATCTATTATAACTAATGAATTTTTATATCCTTCCAAAATATCATACACGTTGTCCGGAAATCCCTTGACAAAACTAATGTTCGGTATTTCTTGAGCCATGTCGTGGAATACTTCCTGATGCTCGGCAAAACAATATACAATTTTTGACGGTACTGGATCAAAAAGATCGTTCAAGTTGTAAAGCAATTGTCTTACGAGATAGGACTTCCCCGTTTGACTTTGCCCACTAATAAAAAAGTTTGCTGGAGTTTTAAATCGTACGTCCATACTCAAATGAGGTGAAGTTTTAAATGACAGATAGGCCAATGTACATTAAGCTTTTAACAATTTTACACATGCATGAAACGATAGCCTTGACCCGTAAATTTATGTATAAGGAAGGAATTAGACTACATATTAAACGTAACTGCATGTCAAGAACACAATATACACAATATAGAATCTACAAAACGAATTGAACTTAATTTGTGATAGCAATTAAAAATGAAAATTACATTTCACCCTGTGAATTAGCATGCGTGTGGTCACAATCATATCACTTATAAAAACACATATTAATAGAAAAGGTGTCGCGGTATTCAATTTAACTTAAATTACACTTTTTAACCGAACTGAGGAATTGGGGGAAAATTGGTTTTAAATCACACTTTATCAAAATGATGTCTCAATTTGTCATCCATTTTGTCGTATTTTGTTTCATGCTTTCTTATGTTATATGCATGCCGATGAAAACGCCATGCAATTATGTTAATATAGCAAGGATTTTAGATTGTTCTAATCGTGGATTGAGTGAAATACCGGTGCCTACTGTGAAGGAGAAACATAGATTAGTGCGTGTTCTGGATTTAAGGAGCAATAACATTACGTCAGTCGTTGAGAATTATACGCTTCAACTGTACCCTGGATTAGTCATGATCGATTTTCGTGAAAATCCTATCGATTGCACAAAGCTCGTCTTTTCAAAGGTCAAACTTATGGTTGACTGTAAATCATTAACGCGCGAACATCAAACAAGTATGTCTTTGATGTCGGATATGCACAAAACAATGCCGAGAGCGAGTTGCTACAAGACTTCTACGCCACACTCTACAATAATCTCATTATATCGAAGTTGTACGTCAATTACATGTACAGAGAAACGTTTGGTACTGCCAATATCAAGTCTTGTCAAGTCACGCAACATTTCTCCATTTGTTAGTGATAAAAAAACTAAAATAATTTTATTAACGACAATTATACCGTTAATAATTTTTATAATGTTTAGTATCATCATTTATGGATATTGTTTACGGCATAGAAGACGTCAAAACACAGCGGAGCACAATCAAAACACAAATACGTTTCAGATTGGTTCAACAACAACAATTGATACTGACGGATCAACATCATCTATGGAACTTTACACAACACAAGTTTAATGAATTGGTATACACTTATAGTTATTATTGGTACACAATTATATGTTACTTATGAAGTTCAAGTTCAGGTATGTTAATAGTTCAAGTGTAAAGAATTGGAACACGCTGTATATACAATAATGACAATTATAGTTACATATTAAGTTCACGTTATGGAAAGTTAAATAGTTTATAATTATTAGGAATAAAATGAAAACGTTCGATAGTTTAATACGAGTCATTGTCGACACGTCTATAGAAAGAAGATTCGTTTTCATCATCCGACATTTCATTGTCATTGATAAAACTACGATCATAGTCATTTTCTGACTCATAGTCTACATCGCATTCATCATCGGTTGCAATCAAGTCTATATCAAATTCCACACAATAATTATTCGCGTTCCTCGAGTTAGTATCTTCATCAGAGGCATCACCACGATCTATGTCATCATTCATCTGTTGTTCCACTCTCGAAACAGAGGATGGGGGTTGAACTAACGTGAAGAGTATATGATTGGGGACGGTTTGCGTTAACTGGGAAACGAGTTGAACCTGAGTAGAAACAGTTGAGGGTTCCCAGTGGTATCCAAAGGGAATAGTGTCTTCACCTTCATCAAGGATGATTCGTTTGTCGTAAACCACTTGATACGACTTTACTTCTCGTTTGTTGACAAGCCGACGACTCCATTTTTCTCTGGTTATTTTACATTCGTTTATAACGTCTAAACTATCTGCCTTTTGCCTCCTTTTTTTCTTGTCTACGCTGGGAGATCCATTTACGTATTTACATATAGCATCTTTCATCGAATCAAAATTAAGAATCTGACTGTTCTTAAAGTTTAATGTAAACCCTCGTATCTTACAACATTTTTTCCCATTGCTAACTACATAAGCGTAATTTTTCGGACCCCCACATGCGAACTGTGTTATGTAACTTCCCGCCCCATGCTTTGGAGTTATCTCGTTTGTTAAATTTCCTAGATAATCCCCTAAGGGTGGTTTAGGACCATCTGGTCTAGTAACATACATACAACTATCAGTGTCAACATATAAAACATCTTCTCCTAATAAGTCCATTACGTTATAAAGTTCCAATCTTGCCCAAGCAGTAGTAAAAATACCTATGAATATATTTGTTAACTTGTTCTCTACTTCGTACTCATGCTTTCTCTTATAAATCAGTTCAACTAGCTCGTCATTTAAAATACACAGATCATGCATTTCTACATCAGCGCCATTAAGAAGCTTATAAAAATGCAGTGGATCACTGACAAACTCTGTGTTTAATCTACCATCTTTTTGACAAAATTTTCCCCACAAACTATTCAAACATAACTTCGCAAAAGCCCTAAGCCCCGGGTTAACTTCTATTTTATCTATCCTTAAACGCACTCCCTCATGTTCATAATAGTTGTTAATATATTTCACCTGATCCTCAGGCGTTTCAACCCAGTCAGGGAATCCAGAGCTTTCTTGTTTTATTCTAAGGAAGTAATTCACGTATTCACTAAATAATTCACTAGAAGAATTTTCAAAGTGCCAAACCTCATGTATTTTCACAACCTTATAGCCTTTCTCGATGGCTTTCAGCACTTCAATCGTCGAGAAAGTGCCCCAAAATGCTCGATCTTCCTCTGAATGCCGGCATTCAGAAGAATTATCTATGACACACCGTTTGCACAAAGGGAAAAAAAGTTTTCCTTTAGCACGAACTGGAAGAACAGGGTGATAGAGTTTAGCCGGTGCCAAAACTTTACATTTTATAAGCCCAAAATAATTCGAAATATCTTGAAAGTTCTTTCGAATGATGGTTGGATGACCAGTCGGGTAATTTTTTGACTTATTAATAAACGGATACAAGGAACAGTAGTCTGAAAAATTAATGGTTTCACCTTCTTGGGCATCTCGAAATAGCTTAAACCCATTGACCCGCCCACCAAAAAATGCATCACGCGGTTCAAGATCAGTGACAATGTCAAACATGTCCAGAAAATGTTTCATTTCGTTTGTCTCCTTAAGTGTGATGTAATCATGTTCCCAAATTGTCTTAACAGTGTAACCTAAGTCCCGTAATCTCTCTTGTCTTGCAATGGTCTCCTCGTACACATCAGCCATCTTACGCTGACTGTGAAATGGATGATTATTTTCACGGTCAAAACACAATGGACACGCATGATACACACATCCGTAAAACTCATATACCGTACCTGTCTCCTCACAAAACCCATCAACATGATAAACTTTTCCTAAAACATTGTCAAAAATCATCTTTTCGCCACCGTTAACAGCATGCTGAATAACCGAGTTAGTCTGAACTGAAACAAATTCTAGCCATTCAATAGAACTCTTAGAAAAAGGTTTATTTCCACCGCGATACATGTTTTTAGGTACAATACCAATCGTATCTTTTTTCAGATATTTGGAACAATAAACAGCCATGACTGAGGCGGCAATAGTACAGTAACAAAAAGGATCAACGTTTGTTTCAGACAAAAAAGAATCACGAAATTTCAAGCAGCACAAGCGTAATATTGTAACATCTTGAGAACAATAGACGTACAATTCTTGCTCAAAGTTGAAAACATAATTACTTTTTACTAATTCTTCATGCCAGGTTATAAGTTTCTCACGATCTTTTTCTGATTTTGTATCAGGACTGTAGTGTTCAATCGCAGGCATAGGCCCCTCGTAATTTTGATTTCCACGGGTGTTAAATTTAAATGGAAAGTCACCCTTGGAAAATTTGGCAGGATCTAAACCAAACGTTTCCGGAAACTTTGACAAAGGCATTTGCAAAAAGTTAAGAGAATCAACAAGACGAATGTTATAATCTTTTACCGTCAATTGCATTATTTTCTGTCCCGAGTGAATGACATGCATGTTGGCTGTAGGCCTGTTTTCAATCAACCACCTCTGTATAAATACACCATCAAACGCTTTAGCATTATGTGCAATTGCGGTATAACCCTTATGATCCATGGAAAACAAAAATGAGCAAAATTTATTCAAAGCATCATACCCCTTAAACACAAACTCCGTCCCGTGAGCGTACTGCACCACAGCAAAGTTGACAACATGCTCCCCATCAGAAAAATCTGTCTCAAAGTCGTAAAATAAGAGTTTATCGTTTGGCGTTTTTGGTTGTTCAGGTTGCATGTAACATAAATGGTCGGACAACACATACTTTTTACAGATACGACATACATTTTCCCCACAACGATGCTCGTCTTGTCGTTTGCGTTCAACATTAGCAAAACATGTTTGACATCGAAACGACTTGTCGCAAATGGAGGGCAGATCAATCCCCTTAGACGTCCGATTTTTTTTATGATGATTAAAACATGCGAGTGAACGACAAATCTTGAAACAGTCCGGACAGGTTTTCTTTTCAGTTGAAACAAAAAGGCACTCTTTACGCAAACAAGTGTGACACGGATCAGAGCACGGATGTGTACGGTAGTTCGAAAAAAATGACTTACATTTTTCACAGAAAAATCGTTTGCCGTGGAAAGATGGAATCCTCTTAGGGTTGATAACGTTGAAATGATCACCGCACCGATACAAAATCAATTTCTTACCACGACGGGGACCCTCATAAATGACAGTATTTCGTGCATTAAAGTCTATAACTACAATTTGATATCCTGGCAAAACCCCTTGGAACTTCGACACCTCACGAAGGCCACAAGGACCAGGTAAAATATTAGCTTTCTTATATAATTCTAACGCTACTCTTTTTTGAATTGCTTTACCTTGTTTAAACTGTAATAATTTAGGATGGTTATCTGCCAAAGCGCGTGCAACACCTAAAGCACGGCCACAGCAGAGTGTATCTCTATTCCTAATTGTTATAATCGATTTTTTAATTAAACTATCTTTATTATAATCTAAAACCTTAAGAGATTTACCAGAAGCAGTTGGAGAACGTACGGCTACAATGTCAACGGTAAAAGATTGGTCCAATGGAATGTTTTCGTTGCTCTGTAACACCTTGGTCACCTCGGACATGATTTTATTGCTTGTCATTTGAATCGCAGGTAACAATCTTGTACTTATGGGTGCTTTCAGAGCGTCGGATCTAACCATGATCCTTAGTTTATCTTCAAGAGGTCTCTGTAAGTCACATTGTGTTTTAACCTGTGAAAAAAAAGACTTGTTCAAATTTCTCATCAAAAAACGATTTTCTCATCTTATTTTTAAATTCGATAAATTAATGTACGCCAATTACTTTGTTACTATACCTGATCTATAGTTTCGGTGAAGAGACTATCAAGTTCTTCAAAAATATTCTTTAGCTTAACGCTATTATTTTCTTCAGATCTAGCCATGGTAGCACGATAAACACATGAGGTAGCACCAAACTTTTTGACAAAGCGCTCAGACACTTTTTCCACGTTAAAATGGACTGCCTTAGGGGTCTCTAAGTTCCCCGATCGTTTTAAATTTTCCCGCTTGTTAACATATTTCAGAGCTTGATTTAATAATTTGGTTGATTTCTTCTGAAAAGCCATGACTTTTGAAAGGTTAGTTTTTCTTTTGGACAGTTCTCTATCTATTTTTTTCAGCAGACGACCTGCTTTTTTGTTTTTCTGAATGGCTTTTTGCCTCAGCTTTTCCAATTGCGAATTCATACCTCTCCGAGGCGTCATTTTCGCATTCCGCTTAAAGTTCTACACTTTTTCCCTCCTATTTATACCCCAGCTAATATTACATACTCATATAAAAAACAATCAGTTGTTGAACAATATATTTTTCAATCAATCAGTTACACTTAACGATGCAATTAAAGTAAGTGTTTAAGAAAATGCTTAAATAAACAGTTTTAAAAAGTCATTAATTTTGACTATTGTTCATTGTTTCTTCATCGGAAGAGTCTGGAACCCTTATTCGTTTGCGTAGATTTCTTGTTTCCCTCTCTTTAAAAGATGAATCATTGTTGGATGTCTTCTTCTTTTTCTTCTTCTTCTTGGTCAGATCATCTGCCCACTGGAAAAACGTGCATTTGTCTTCTTCGTCGACGTCTTGACAACGGAAGTACGGTCGACCAGGATTCTTTTCTGAGTGTGACACCCAGAGACGCGTGGTTTCCTCACAGTCACAAAGAGGAAACTTGTTTGGCTTAAACTTTTGAACTACTTTCGTTTCGTAAGCTGCTAGTAATTCTTTGTAATCCTCTTCGGGCGAAAATAAAGTACACGTTCCTTTGCCACATTTAACAAAACCACGTCCTTTCTTGCTGGTAAAACGTTTTAGACCATGTTCAGAGCAAAAACATGGATTTGCTGAGATTGAAGCCATGTTGAAAGTTGTTAAACTCGTTCTTGCAAAGATCTGTGACTTGTAACATGCACAAAAATGTCATTTTTATACTATCATGATACCTGTTTTGCATATTATTTACACTTGAATTGTGTAATTGTACTTTACATAGTCTTAATATAACGACTTTTGTCTTTGTTATAACATCAATACACCTATGGAAAATAAATCCAGTTTACGAGGGGGGAAATAAGTTAATGACTTCGGTGCATTATTGTGATTATACTGTTCCCAGACCGTTAAGATATAACGAGCGTATTTCAGACGTACGGTATTGAACGCTAGAATGAACGATATTAATCACAGGATTATAGGTGAGCTATAATGAGCGTCTTTCAGACGATTACAGATAACATGGAAAAACAACTTAAAGAACATTCGAGGTATACCATTCTCATTAATCTTTATCAAGAGGAATATTTTTAGATCCCCTGCCAAAAATTAAGCTTAGTCTGGAAAACCATTACGTTAAGCAATTCACAAAAATAAAGGCATTAAGCTATAATGAGCGTCTTTCAGATGAACGATATTAATCATAAAATTATAGATAACATGGGAAAACAACTTAAGAACATTCGAGGTATTATTCTGATTAAACTTTAATTCATCCAAGTTATCATTCTGATTAGACTTTACCAGGGAAAGATGTTTTGTTCGCCTGCCATAAAAATTATTACGTTAAGCAACTCATAAAAATAAAGCCATTAAGATATAATGAGCGTCCTGCAGATGAACAATAGTAAAAACAGGATTATAGGTAAGCTATAATGAGCGTCGTTCGGATGAACGATATTAATCACAGGATTATAGGCAACATGTGAAAACAACTTAAGGACATTCGAGGTATTATTCTGATACCTATTCTATAGGCTATAATGAGCGTCTTCAAGATGAGCGATTTTAATCACAAGTTTATAGGTAACATGTCGAAACAACTTAAGGACATTTCGAAGTATCATTCTGATTAAACTTTACCAGGCGAATATTTTTAGATCCCCTACAAGTAGTGAAAGTAAATTATTTTACAATGGTAAATCTCAGTTGGGGAAAAACATGTTTGCTTATAAAAAACATAAACAACTCACACTACTTAACATACATCATCTGGGTGAATACAAATAAGTCGTTAACACATATTTATATTTTTATATTTTCTTTTCGCGTCCTATGATAAATTGAAAAGAACTGCAAAACATCCATTGTTGTTAGGTACAAACTCCTAGCACATAAATAACAGCCTAACATACAGACAAGCAGACAACACTTTACTGGCCTTTACTCAGAAGACAACAAGAAAGAAAAAACATGTTTGGTAAGTAGAAAGTTTTTACATTAATACTTCTGTATAAGAAATGGTTTCTGTCACCTAAAAATTGCAATACTTATATCTGGATATTTTTAATTTATAGATATCTGCGAAAATTGCAATCTTTTTACGGTAGAATTAACATGTGGGTGCAAATCACACCTACATAAGTTAGATCCGATCGAGGAGAATCTGTGTTGTCCGACTTGCAGGTTTGTTAAACGACACCAATAGTTATATTGTCTCTGTTGTACAACGTGTTGTTTTTTTTTAACTCATACTTTGATAAATAAAACAACTTGTTGTTTTTTTAACTCATACTTTGCAGAACACCTGTGGAAGTCAATTTGCTCGAAGCTATCATTGATTTCAAGTTTTGCATCGATATGTTAAAGTAAGAGAATATCACTTTAAAGTATATTGCATTTAACGACAAATCTTAAGTTGTTCTTCTCTTATAAATGTTTTATTTTATCTTACAGAGTTCTCGATGTAGCATTTTTAGTCGAAGAATAATTAAAATAGAATTTATTGTAGCCTATGTATGTATCGTTAAGTGTCTTTAAATATAGTAGGGCTGTTAAAAATCTAATTTTGACTTTGTGTGTGTGTGTGTGTGTATGCTTTTTTTTTTTTTTAATTGAGAATATTAATCGATACAAAATGATACGAAACAGATATTGCTTTACTGAAAACCTTTATTTTATTCGTCAACCATTATCAATTATTTAATCATTAATCTAAAAAGTTTATACAAACGATCTAATGTTTTCTTCTTTAACAGCTGTTTCTGTTTACCACAAAATAACATTCGCCAATCTTTACATGTGTATTTCAAAAGTCCAAGTCCATTTTCTTTCGGCTTGTGATATCTTTCAGTTTTTTATAAACTTCTCAACAATTTTGGCAAATCTAATTTTGACTTTATGTGCCTACTATTTATTGAGAATATTAATCAATATAAAATGATACGAAACAAATATTGCTTTACTGAAAACCTTTATTTAATTCGTCAACGGTGCCATTATCAATTATTTAATCTAAAACGTTTACAAAAGATCTAATGTTTTCTTCTTTAACAGCTGTTTCTGTTTACCACAAAATAATATTCGCCAATCTTTACATGTGTATTTCAAAAGTTCAAGTCCGTTCACTTTCGGCTTGATATCTTTCAGGCTGTTCATAAACTTCTCAACAATTTCGGCTTCTGAAACTGATTCAAGTGCAGCATCAAAGTACAACCATAATCGTTCATCTGCTTCCATCATCAAGCAATCATGTTGTCTTTGCGAGGGGTGGTCGATTAAACAACCATTACAGTTTTTCAATACCATGCTTGTAATAGTTGAAGTGATCTCTTCTGCATAACAGTTTAAAAGTATATCCCCTATACGTTTTTCACGATGAGCAAAATATCTTTCTTCATTACCAATATCAGTTCCAACATTAGACACATTACTCGCCATTTCTTTTTTGAACAGTTTATCCAGAGTTACACTTTTAAAATGATTAAATCTCAAACATGCTGACCATTTTTACAAAACTCTTTTATTCCGTTTTACATTAGTAGCTTTCAAACCAATCATAACAACTCTTATATCTATACATACTTTTTGATTGGTTTTTCTCAACCAATTACAATTACTTCCCTTCAATCAACTTCTTCCGGTTGACATGCGCGCGCAACAGCCCTAACGAAAGACCTGGAAACTAATTCCAAGGGGTAAGAGCTCTGCAAAAAAATGCTGACTAAGGGGAATATAGCTGTGACTATTCTACTCACCATGCCTCGCAAAAACTCACACAACCTTGTATATGTCAAGAGTAAAAAACTTTTTTACTTTTAGAACTTTTTTATAACTATAAATGTGAATACAAAAACATATAAATTACTCATTAAAACAAAATCTAGTGTTAACAGAGTCAAAATGCCAATTTCACAATGAGAAGGACTGCTCAAAATAGAGGGAAAAAGAAATTTGTTTTTGAATTTTTTAAAATTTCGGACATCCGGATTGCTAACCCCACCCCCCCTCCCCCCCTATGTCCGAGTTTGTCCCGATTTTCCAAACCCCCCTCCCCCCTTGGCTCGGACATCCTTTGTGAATGGCCCCTTAAGCTATTAAAACATTGTTATATTAACCCGAACAGAACACTTAAATATATATAAACCTAGTGAGTGAAATGTTGTAAATATGCTAAATGAAATAAATCAACATTGTTTTTCCTTGAGTTCAAACAGAACTACTTCTTCGTCGTCGTCTTCAGCTTGTCTCAGCGTACTCGTTTCCATGGGTATGGCGCGGATGACGCGGTATCTTTGTCGCATTCTGCGACTCAAAATGAACGCACACAATCCTAACACGACCAGAACCGGTAAGACAATCAACCACATTAAATTAACTTCACTTTTTCCGTTATGCGCTCGTGTACCCAATAACGGTGTTGTGTGCGCTTTATTTACTTTTTTTACATATTGCAGTCGTGTGGTTACTAGCAGCGTTTCGCATGTCCGTAATGTCAGGTACGAGTGCTGACTTGGGGTCGCCTTTAAAGTACAATCGCTCAAGATTACCTCCAAAATGTCCGGGTGAATTGAGGTGCAGTTTAAGGGGTTGTTCCTCATATCGATTTCTTTAAAGCCTTGTAGTCCAGTCATGTCTTTTTCCGTTAATGTTGTTATCTGGTTGTCGTTCATAAGTAATATAGTGTAATGTCCGTTCCCTCGCACTCCACGTGGCAGGTGAGTGAACCCTCCATTCGCGCAATTCACCAATTTGACCCTTTCCGAACACGTGCAAGACCGTGGACACGCCAAAACGGAAAAAAAATTCAACAAAATTACCAACAATGTAAGACACAGCATTGTGACAAGCTTTAATAAGAATGCCTTAAAAGCGTGCTGTAATAAGACACCCTTTTCACTTGCCATACAACACTTGTCATGTTAACATGGGAAACTGCTTTGGACAGCCGAAACACCTAGTATAGGACTGCGTGAAATTTTCAAACGCATTCGCTGTCTCTGTACTTGCTGCAGAGGTCGAGTTGTGATATATAAATCAGAACTTGATGGAAAAGAAGAAGGAAACGCTTCTGAACAAAATTTACTACAGCCCCAAGCACGAGGCTAGTTTTGGTGGTTTAGAAAAACTTTATCGTGCGGCGAGAGCAACGAAAAACAACCTAAATATCGAAATGACGTGCGTGAATGGTTATGCTCGCAAGAGACATATACCTTACACAAGCCTGTCCGAAAAAAATATCCTCGAACGAGAGTTTTTGTTGCCGGGAAAGATGATCAATTTGAAGCTGATTTGGCAGACTTTCAGTCGCTTAGTGCACAGAATGATAACTATAGGTTTTTACTTGTTTGTATCGACTGTTTCAGTAAATATGCCTGGGTTAGAGCGGTGAAAAATAAGACAGGCCCAGTCGTTACACGTGCTTTTCGTGATATTTTGGAACAAGGTCGGGTGCCGAACTATCTCCATACCGATCAGGGCACAGAGTTTTTGAATTCAAATTTTCCAAATCTCATGAAGCAATACGGTATTCAGTTTTTTACCACCAACAGTGACACAAAAGCAAGTATAGCCGAAAGATTTATAAGGACATTGAAACAGAAAATATATTGTTATTTCACAGCAAAAAACTCTGTCCGTTATATTGACGCACTGCAAGATATAGTATACTCGTACAATCACTCAAGGAAATTCCAGCTAATGTGACCAAGGAAAATGAATTCCAAGTCAGGCAAACGCTTTATGGAGAGAAGAAACCCAATCCGAAATTTAAGTTCAATGTAGGTGATCTAGTAAAAATAAGTAAGACACGAAGACCATTTGAGAAAGCGTATAATCAAGGTTGGACCATAGTTAATAGAGGAGATGGTTTGGAAACTCATTAGCATTACAATAAACCTCACTATCTATATGTTTTTGTTCAGGTTTATGCAAAAATGTGGTCTTCCATCGTCACGTGCGTATTGTATTTTTGCTCAACCAGCTAATATCAACGGTGTTGTCCAATTGCCCATCCATGACTTTAACAATATGACATTTTGAACATTCCTATTGGTTGACTTGAGAAAAATACAATACACACGTGACGATGAAAGAGTACATTTTTGCATAAACCTGAACAACATAGATAATGAGGTTTATTGTGATTTTATTGTAATGCTAACGAGTTTCCAAACCATCTCCTCTATTAACTATTGTTGGACAGAGGAAAATTTTACCATAGCTGAACAAATTGCACGAGATCTGCCAGTATACAAAATCAAGGATTTTGATAGTGAAATTCTTGATGGATTATTTTACGAATATGAACTTCAAAAAGTGGTTAAGAAAGACGACCGTTTACAGAGTAGACAGTATTCTTCGCACACGCAGAAGGAATGGTCGTAAGGAATATCTAGTGAGCTGGAAAAATTACCCGGCAAAATTGAACAGTTGGGTCGATGAGAAAGATATAACCAACATCAAATAACGTTCGCGTTTAGTGACATATGATGTGATGGAAAGAACAAAACCGTTTTTCATAACTTTACCTAGCAATAGCTGTATGGAAATATTTATAACTTCCTGAAACCGTTTCGTTAACTGGTGATTGGGAAGTCGCTCTTGTTGAGATGCAATACGCACACACCTGGAGTACTATAAGACAGGGTGTTCAGCAAACGTTTGTATATACTGTGGGTACTGAACGAAGCACAGGGATCATTGACAGTGGTCATTATGAAAGCGTTCCGGATCTCGTCAAAAATTTTAACAGTCATATTTCGAAAGATGTACAAGGCAAAATTCAATTAACGTATAGTAAGCATACACGTACAGTAACCTTCGATGTTAAAAAACAAGCAAGTATTTGGTTAACTGGTGATATTGCTGCTGCGTTAGGGTTTGACCAAGACAGTTATATTACCAAGAAAACAACGTCGCCCTATACGGCAGATATTGATGCAGGATTTTCGTCCATGTTTGTGCATTGCAATCTTGTGAGTGATCAAATTGTTGGTGATAAAAAAGTTCCCTTGCTACGTACCGTTCAAATTAAGGGCAGATACGGTGATATAATTACAAGAACGTACCAGAATCCATTATATATGCCAGTCGGTACGAAGAGGTTTGAAACGCTGGAAGTGTATATAACCGACGATTCAGGAAGGCGAGTGCCATTTGAGTTCGGGCGGTCGATTTGTACACTACATCTTAGACCAAATCATTCCATATACTTTTAATAAAGTCACCCTGTACATGCATACGAGGTTATGAAACTCTGTTTTCTGGTATGGATAAAATGTTTGCAGACTCTGGAAATCTTATCAGTTGTGAAGATTACGCCAAAGGATATGCATTGTATGCTATAGATCTGACGCCAGATTTAACCAGTTCGGAACATTTTAATCCCGTTCAGACTGGGAACGTTCGCCTAAGTATTCAATTTTCTGAAGTGCTTCCCCATACAGTAACCTGTTTGGTGTACGCCGAGTTTGAAAGCCTGATAGACATAAACCAGATAGCCTATAGCGATTATCTCAGGAACTAACCAGTTTTTCCTTCATTCCCTTCGTCTAGGAAAGTGTCATATGCTTTTTCTACAGCTTTATCCAACCGTTCCCATTCGCTCTGGGTCAAATCGTCGAAAGGGTCATCTTCAGAAAGGAAAAATTTTCAATGAGCGAATTGTTACACAGATTAACGCTAGTGTTTCTGCTAATTCATCAACTTACCTCGAATAGCGTACTGTATAATGGCTTCGCTTTCCAGACGATTTAATTGGGACCCACTTAAAGAGTCTAAAAAGCTTAACCAAACGTCGTTTTCCATCAAGCGTTATAACAGGCTATGTTAATTGCTCTTGTTGTAGTAAGCGACTGTTTGTAATGTACGAACACGCTCTTGAATATATATATATATATATATACATGCATGATTAAACATGGTCGTTACCGGTACGTCATGTCACCGGCAACGCCCGTTAATCAAGCGGAAGTGAATTGAACATGGCTCCATTAGGACAGGCAAAGAACAAATAGGCATGGTCGCATATATTTTTCCCTGGCCGAAAGCATTAATGACAGGCACTGAAGAATTGCATCGCCGATAAAACAGCGCGAAAAGAGAAACGTCTATCATGTCGCGAGGTGAATTCCGAACACGAAGAGGTGGATGGCGCGGAAGGGCCAAAAGGGCGCAAACGACAACGACCGTGGGGTGCTTCATCTGTTTGGAAGAAGTCGGCAACGCCGAAAGGTACGCGTTCAACATGCCCTGTTGTTCGCAAATTATCCATTTAAAATGCTGGGAGAAGTGGGAGGACGTCAAGAAGGAAAGTCGGCAATACCCATCGTGCCCAATGTGCCGAACACGTTGGAAAGGAGATTATACGGAGATATGCTTTCGCTGCTTCCGGCCGCTCACTTCCCAGATGGAGTGGTGGCCAAGGTGTGCACCCGAGGAAAGGCGAAGGTTTAGGCACGTTTGTGAAAAACCCTGAACCTTTGCAAACCAACCGGCTCTTTTAAGAGCCAACAAATCTTTAAAAGAATATAAATGAATTTTCGATGCACAACAATTTATTAACAAATACTTTTTTAAAAACTACAAGTATAACTATTCACACAGTTCTTAAACCTATATCGAGTCCTTTAGAAGTTTGTCAACCACTGTGTAGGTTTCCTCTTTGCCCTTTTTTTGCTATGAGGTTCATCCTTGGACCTTTCTGCTTGATTTTGTTCATAACCGTAAGTTTTAAAGAGTTGTAGTCGTTCAGGGTTGCGTACTAAATCTTCCGAAAGATTAATTTGCTTAAGACCTTTCGTAAATAATTCAAATCCATTTGGTTTATTATTTTTCCTGTGCCTAAGAGAATCGCTAACTAAGTCTGTCATATTGGTATTTGGCACTGCTTCCCCTTGATATTTCAGTTCGCCTTTTTCATTCCAACTTAGAACTTGAGGATTATCCTTAATTTTTTCTAAAATCATTTTGGCTTTTGATTGAAGTGTTTTCGAAAGAATTTCGACAATAGAGCCAACGCTTTGCTCCTTGTTAATCACCTCCAGTGTACTGGGAACACTTGCCGCTGCATTTTTTCCACATCCCCCGCAAATGCTATAGGTACTGGTTTTGTGACCTCGACATTTCGTTTCCTTTTGAAATGAAGATAGTTCTCTAATATTTGACTGTAGAGCTTTGCTTTTTCATGTTGGGAAGTGTCATTTTTGTCAAAAATAGCTTTCATTTCACTATCTAATTGCGCCATTTTTGCGACAGCGGTGGAGTCGTTAAGCGTTGCTGACGTAAGTAATTATCCAAATTATTTTCCGGTATCAGAATCATTTTTGTTGAATGCTTCATGTCTCTATTATAGGAGCAACGCTAGTTCTTTTAAAACAGGTCCCAACACTAAAGTAAGAAAGCCTTCCCCTTTTTGAACAATCGTTTGCCGTCGCTTCTTCAATGGTGTACCTTTCTTGACAAGCACCCTTAAATGATCTTTGTGCCTAGCTAGCTTCCTCTTTTGAACTGGCGACATTTTAACTACACTCTTTAAAATATTCAATACACAATCACAGATTGCCTTAATGCAACTTGGCTCTAAATGTTTTAACATTGCTTTACGCAGCTTCGGTTTTGCTTGATGTAAAACCTTAAGAGGCGGATGGCGTGGAAGGGCCACAAGGGTGAAGAGGCGGATGGTGCGGAAGGGCCACAAGGGCGCAAACGACAACGACCGTGGGGTGCTTCATCTGTTTGGAAGAAGTCGGCAACGCCGAAAAGTACGCGTTCAACATGCCCTGTTGTTCGCAAATTATCCATTTAAAATGCTGGGAGAAGTGGGAGGACGTCAAGAAGGAAAGTCGGCAGGACCCATCGTGCCCAATGTGCCGAACACGGTGGAAAGGAGATTATACGGAGATATGCTTTCGCTGCTTCCGGCCGCTCACTTCCCAGATGGAGTGGTGGCCAAGGTGTGCACCCAAGGAAAGGCGAAGGTTTAGGCACGTTTGTGAAAAACCCTGAACCTTTGCAAACCAACCGGCTCTTTTAAGAGCCAACAAATCTTTAAAAGAATAGAAACGAATTTTCGATGCACAACAATTTATTAACAAATACTTTTTTAAAAACTACAAGCATAACTATTCACACAGTTCTTAAAGCTATATCGAGTCCTTTAGAAGTTTGTCAACCACTGTGCAGGTTTCCTCTTTGCCCTTTTTTTTTGCTATGAGGTTCATCCTTGGACCTTTCTGCTTGATTTTGTTCATAACCGTAAGTTTTAAAGAGTTGTAGTCGTTCAGGGTTGCGTACTAAATCTTACGAAAGATTAATTTGCTTAAGACCTTTCGTAAATAATTCAAATCCATTTGGTTTATTATTTTTCCTGTGCGTAAGAGAATCGCTAACTAAGTCTGTCATATTGGTATTTGGCACTGCTTCCCCTTGATATTTCAGTTCGCCTTTTTCATTCCAACTTAGAACTTGAGGATTATCCTTAATTTTTTCTAAAATCATTTTGGCTTTTGATTGAAGTGTTTTCGAAAGAATTTCGACAATAGAGCCAACGCTTTGCTCCTTGTGAATCACCTCCAGTGTACTGGGAACACTTGCCGCTGCATTTTTTCCACATCCCCCGCAAATGCTATAGGTACTGGTTTTGTGACCTCGACATTTCGTTTCCTTTTGAAATGAAGATAGTTCTCTAATATTTGACTGTAGAGCTTTGCTTTTTCATGTTGGGAAGTGTCATTTTTGTCAAAAATAGCTTTCATTTCACTATCGAATTGCGCCATTTTTGCGACAGCGGTGGAGTCGTTAAGCGTTGCTGACGTAAGTAATTATCCAAATTATTTTCCGGTATCAGAATCAGTAGCGTAGCCAGCCTGAAAATTTCCTCCTGCTATGTAAATTTCAAAGCATTATCATTATTCATTTCTTTAGAAATTCATTGTTTTTACAGTCTATGAACACAGAAATATTTGCATAGCAGGAGTAAATAGTCGGGCTGGCTACGCCACTGATCAGAATAATTTTTTTCGAATGCTTCATGTCTCTATTATAGGAGCAACGCTAGTTCTTTTAAAACAGGTCCCAACACTAAAGTAAGAAAGCCTTCCCCTTTTTGGACAATCGTTTGCCGTCGCTTCTTCAATGGTGTACCTTTCTTGACAAGCACCCTTAAATGATCTTTGTGCCTAGCTAGCTTCCTCTTTTGAACTGGCGACATTTTAACTACACTCTTTAAAATATTCAATACACAATCACAGATTGCCTTAATGCAACTTGGCTCTAAATGTTTTAACATTGCTTTACGCAGCTTCGGTTTTGCTTGATGTAAAACCTTAAGAGGCGGATGGCGTGGAAGGGCCACAAGGGCGAAGAGGCGGATGGTGCGGAAGGGCCACAAGGGCGCAAACGACAACGACCGTGGGGTGCTTCATCTGTTTGGAAGAAGTCGGCAACGCCGAAAAGTACGCGTTCAACATGCCCTGTTGTTCGCAAATTATCCATTTAAAATGCTGGGAGAAGTGGGAGGACGTCAAGAAGGAAAGTCGGCAGGACCCATCGTGCCCAATGTGCCGAACACGGTGGAAAGGAGATTATACGGAGATATGCTTTCGCTGCTTCCGGCCGCTCACTTCCCAGATGGAGTGGTGGCCAAGGTGTGCACCCAAGGAAAGGCGAAGGTTTAGGCACGTTTGTGAAAAACCCTGAACCTTTGCAAACCAACCGGCTCTCTTAAGAGCCAACAAATCTTTGACAAGACAAGACAAGACATTTTATTTGAACCCACTTATTACATTAGTTTTACATTACATTAATTTTTTGACATGACATGGGTTCCGTCTGCCCGAAATAACCATTAAGGGGCTAGATGAATCAGGCAGACGTTTTACACACAACGCTTGACAAACAGATATAACGAAGCTTAATATATAAAGTAGTCAATTTACATAAATATTTTACTCAATTTAGCAGAACCACAGAGAGAAGCAAAACACCATATAATTATGAAATTATTATTAAAATTTAGAATGTTTTAGCAAAATCAATAATTAAAAATAATGAAAGCAATTCAACAATTCGATACATAAATGAACAGAGCAATAAGCTAATATGAATAAAAAAACATTTCCTTAAGTTTGCTTTTTAGATTAAAAACTGACAATTTTTTATCGGCCTCATCAAGGGAATTCCATATCTTAACACCCTGGTATCTAATATTAAAAATTCCATAATTAGTTCTTGTTTTTGGCAAAGAATACGACTGCCTTGATGCTAACCTCGTATTATAAGTATGTAATTCTTTGACTGGAGTGAAAAGATTATTAAAGATAGGTGGTAATTCCTCGTGATAATAATCATGCATAAACATCGTGGCATGTAGAGTGAAAAGATCATGTAATTTAATTATTTTTAGAGATTTAAATATTGGTGTGGAATGAGCATCAAATTTAGAAAAGTTAATTATACACAAAGCCTTTTTCTGTAAAATAAATAAAGGTCGCAATGATGTAGGATATGTCATACTCCAAGATATTATACCATAAATGAGAAAAGGGTGAATTAGAGCATAATATAACTTTATCAAGGTATTCAGGTTGGTAAAATAACGAATTTTAGAGAGTAGACCGATACTTCTTTTCAGTTTTTTTGCGATATAATCAATATGGGATTTCCAATTCAAATGAGAATCAATATAAACTCCAAGATACCTCATACTCTGCACTCTTTTTAATTCAATACCATTAATCTTCAATTTGATGGCACATGTTATTTTCTTTTGGACTGGATGAAATAAAATGAAATTAGATTTTTCTATGTTGAGAGACAACTTATTTACACAAAGCCAAACATGAATATTACTTAGTTCCCTGTTAACATTATTGCGGAACTCATCAACGCCATAATAATTAAAATTGACATCATGCAACATGTGGCAATCAATATCTGAGTTTGTCAAATGAGAAGCATTTGTAGCTACAGAGCTAGATACAAAACCAGGCAACAAGCTATATTGCTCGATTCTACTTTCCATGCTAGCAGACATTACCTCAATATTCAATTAAATAAACACTTATCTAATAAATAATAGATAATAGCACAACAATTCACTGGTAAATATCACTCCCTCAAATGCTGAATGTCACGCTGATTTTTAATGTTGATGACAGGACTATTTCATTTCTTCGTAAATATATATTCCCATTGTACGTCCAAATGAATTTATATTTCTGCTCGATTACATATCCAAGATCTTTTGTGGTTAATCTATTAAGCTTCTTACGAGCTTTATATAATTTCTCTTTCGTCTCACGCCGTGTAAATTTCACAATAATTGGTGGTGAATTCTTGCTTTTCCCTTTATAAGAAACGTTGGATTTCAGCCGATGACTTGTGGATATATCTATATCCGTAATATCAACATCGATCGCCTTTGCAATGTCCTTTATAATACTATTAGTATTTTCCTGATCATTCAAGCATGGTATCCCACGGATTTCGAGACATTCACGTCTGATATATTGCTCCATATCGTCTTGCGATTTCATTATTTCTTGCAATTTGTTTGTAGCTCTTTGAAGTTCATTATTCAGAGCTTTATTTTCATTAACAAGAGACTTCTTTTCTTCTTCAAACTTCGACAACTTGACTAATATTTGTTCATATTTTTCATTTATGAACGACATTGAACTGATTGCCTCATCAATTTTCTTATTTAATGGCTCTAATTTTTGGTCAAAAATAGTATTTAAAACTTCTGCTGTGATAACTGACATAATTGAGACAAAATAAACTTCAAATAACATAAATACAACGAAATATTAACGAAATATAACATAAAAAATACAGAGCTTACAAAGCTCCACCATCTTAGTTGACCACGTGTGATAAAAAATGAAAGAATATAAACGAAAGAATATAAACGAATTTTCGATGCACAACAATTTATTAACAACTACTTTTTTAAAAACTACAAGTATAACTATTCACACAGTTCTTAAACCTATATCGAGTCCTTTAGAAGTTTGTCAACCACTGTGCAGGTTTCCCCTTTGCCCTTTTTTTGCTATGAGGTTCATCCTTGGACCTTTCTGCTTGATTTTGTTCATAACCGTAAGTTTTAAAGAGTTGTAGTCGTTCAGGGTTGCGTACTAAATCTTCCGAAAGATTAATTTGCTTAAGACCTTTCGTAAATAATTCAAATCCATTTGGTTTATTATTTTTCCTGTGCCTAAGAGAATCGCTAACTAAGTCTATCATATTGGTATTTGGCACTGCTTCCCCTTGATATTTCAGTTCGCCTTTTTCATTCCAACTTAGAACTTGAGGATTATCCTTAATTTTTTCTAAAATCATTTTGGCTTTTGATTGAAGTGTTTTCGAAAGAATTTCGACAATAGAGCCAACGCTTTGCTCCTTGTTAATCACCTCCAGTGTACTGGGAACACTTGCCGCTGCATTTTTTCCACATCCCCCGCAAATGCTATAGGTACTGGTTTTGTGACCTCGACATTTCGTTTCCTTTTGAAATGAAGATAGTTCTCTAATATTTGACTGTAGAGCTTTGCTTTTTCATGTTGGGAAGTGTCATTTTTGTCAAAAATAGCTTTCATTTCACTATCTAATTGCGCCATTTTTGCGACAGCGGTGGAGTCGTTAAGCGTTGCTGACGTAAGTAATTATCCAAATTATTTTCCGGTATCAGAATCATTTTTGTTGAATGCTTCATGTCTCTATTATAGGAGCAACGCTAGTTCTTTTAAAACAGGTCCCAACACTAAAGTAAGAAAGCCTTCCCCTTTTTGAACAATCGTTTGCCGTCGCTTCTTCAATGGTGTACCTTTCTTGACAAGCACCCTTAAATGATCTTTGTGCCTAGCTAGCTTCCTCTTTTGAACTGGCGACATTTTAACTACACTCTTTAAAATATTCAATACACAATCACAGATTGCCTTAATGCAACTTGGCTCTAAATGTTTTAACATTGCTTTACGCAGCTTCGGTTTTGCTTGATGTAAAACCTTAAGGACGTGAACGTTCCTTGTCATATGAACAGACATGGCAAAATAACTGGGGCACACAAAATCTTCACTTTTTAACGTAAAAAACCTGCCGCTCATCTGGAAATATTTTTGCACGTAATCTATATTTATCTTCAGTTTGAGGGTGCAAATCTATTAACAAGTAGGAATATGCTTCCTCGGTCGCGTCTTCATAAGCTTCAATTAGATATTGACCGCATCCTGGATACATTTGGCGAGCAAGAGTTGAAACTGAACTGTCTGGTCTCTCGGGCTTTTGAAAACAACCATATGGTGGCAATTCAGCGAACATAAGCGAGAAAATTTTCCTTTATTAAATAAAGCTTGCTGTAAAAATATTACCGAAATGGAGCGGTGATGCGACCCTTTGGTGAACAAAATTTGCAAGTTCTAAATTATCCAATAATTCATTTTGAAGGTCATCAATGATCATTAATGTATGAAAGGACGGATCAGTTATGCCTTTGACATCAGGAAAACCCTCATAAAATTGTATCTCTGGCATGTTTTGCCGAATTTCGTCAAAAATAGGCTGATATTCCCCATAACAATATATGATTTGATCAACGTTCCGGTTATCATTTGCGGTAAGTTTTCAAGAAACTTTTTTACCCAAACGGTTTTGCCTGACCCGGAAGAACCAGAAATCTGCAAGCAGAAACAGGCTTTTAGTTTTGGGTCTATGACAGTCCGATGCAAATGAAAACAAACCTGATGGTGCTCTAAGTATTTAAAGTTTAATGACCGCACTAATTTTACTATTTTTCTTTTTTTAAATTACATTTTAAAACAGATTCAACAAACAACTATGAGCCGAATTCATTCCAGATATCGACCTGGCAATTGGCTCTTAGGTTCATTAGACCATTGCTAGACCATCGTGGCGTACCCACAAAATTACATAGCGCTATCGGACGTGAACCAAAGGAGACAGAGGACTGTCATATATGTCTAGAGGAAATCAGATTTGGACAAACCAGGGCAATTGTGACACCTTGCTGCGACCACTACGTACATCTCAGGTGTTTTAGAAGATGGAAACGCGAACAGTGTCGCAAAAAGCAAAATATCACATGTACCATGTGTCGACAACCGTGGGATTCTACATCGCTATGTGTGCTTTGCGAGCGGAATGGAACAACGTCGAAAACATGCACAATGCGGCGATTCCATCCTTAAAAGACAATTTTTTTTTCTTTTATGTAACTAACAAGACTGCATGGTAAATTCAACTCTTACAATTTGTAATAAATTTAATAATAACACATTTTGTTAGCCGCTTTTGCTAATGTTTCAACGCAATCATCATCTCTACATTTATGTGCGATATTACATACACGACAATGAATATGACAATATGTTCGTACGTAGCAAATACAACATACAAACTCCCGCCCACAATTATAAAAGTTTGCCGGTCCAGTACATTTATCATGTTCACAAGTTATGTTCCACATTTGTATTATTTGTTGTACATCAAACATTGGTCGATCCATTTCAAACAAACATTTATCGCATCTAAAATCCTCAAAATCTAGCGTACTTTCTCTTCTTGTATAATGAAGTGGTAATTTTGTATTGTTCGGGCCAAATTCTTCACATCGTTGACACTTTCTGAAATGGAATTCCATTGCTTTGCCTTTGGTATAATATTTCTGTTCAATCCCTCTTTGACGAACAAATAACAAGCAATATGAAAAAAAGCAAAATCAACTATCCGTTTCTTGCAAGGAAACTTTTGCTATTGAACCCGGATTAGTGATATTCAAATTTCGCCAGGTTATTAGTCGCGTAACCATGCAATTAAACGTTGTATCCAAGATTGTTTTATTTCAAAGCTAGCTATGTCCACCTGTTTTAATTCCCATACACAGACTTTTACGGCTTCTTGCACAATTTCAGGCTCACAAAAATCACTAACTTTAAAAACTAAAGTCAAGTAAGCCATAATTCTACCAAAATTCGAAGGTTCTAACTCCTGATAAATTACACACAAATTTTCAAGTACGTTCTCTCTTCCAATACGAGCTATCATGCTTTCAAATAAACCCCCATGCTTTTCCGAAAGCAATTTTAAATGGAAACGAAAAGTATTCGCACTCAATTCAATGTTATTAGTCGCTGGGGCACTCTGTGCCTCCAGCGACTATAGGTTTCGGCTTCATCGCGGATTGTTGGTCACAAAATGACCTACGTCATTTTTTTGTCAAACATTACGTCATTACTTTCAGTCGCTGGATTCAAGATGGCCGCTTACTTGGGAGCGCATTTGGAAATAATTTCATCGACTTTGTGCATATTTTCTTCATTTTTTCGATGAAACTTAATAGTTTTCCCATCAGCCGGACTTTATAAACCGAAAGTCACCTTATATGAGTAAACTTGGAAGGCTGGAAGCCAGAAATAGACTACAAAAGTTCACAATTTTCACAAAGTTGGAACTTCGTAAATTGCAACAATAATATTCGCAAGTTGCTGCTTATTTGGATGTAAATAGAATCTGCTTAATGGGACAAGGGTTTAATAGAGCTTCTTGCCTTGCTGGCAAATGATATTTTAAAAGCTCTCAGGACAGCTGTAATCTCACAATAGGTATTG